AAAAAGGAAATTGGACCTTTGCCTTATACTATACTCAAAAGTGAACTCAAAGTGGATTAGAGACCTAAAAGTACAACCTGGAATAAAACTCTTAGAAGAATACTTCAGGAAAAAGTTTGTAGACCTTGGTGTTAGCAGTGTTTTATTGGATATGGATTAAAAGCGTAGACAACAAAAGCAAAAATAGATAAGTGGGAATATTTCAAGCTGAAAAATTCCACGCAGCATAGGAAACTGTACAAAGTAAAACACAGCTTGTAAAGTGGGGGAAGTATTTATAAACCACTTATCTGGTAAGGGTTACTATCCAAAAATGTATAAGAAAGTCTTAGTTGCCCAAGAAAAAACATCCAGTCAAAAAATGGGGTAAAACAACTGAATAAGGGGCTGGGGAGATAGCTCAGTAGAATAAGTACTTGCTTTGCAAGCACAAGGGCCTGAGTTCAATCCCCGGTTCCACCACAAAGATAAATAAATAAATTTTTAAAAAGAACTGAATAGATACTCTGCTTCAAAGATATTAAACAGTTGGCAGATGTTTAAAAGTATGCTCAGTATTACTGATCTTCAGGGAACTATGAATCAGAATTGCAGTAAGATAGTACCTCACATCTGTTGTGATGGCTCTTAGCAAAAAAAAGAAAGTAAAAAAGAAACAAGTGCTGGTGACAGTGTGGAGAAAAAGGAGTCCTTGTACACTGTTGGTATATGAGCATGGCCAGTGTGGAAAATAGCAACTTAAGATGGAATTGCCACTAGTTCAGGCAGTGAATGTGGAACTCCATGTTCATTATAGCAGTATTCACAATAGCAAGGGTATGGAAACAGCTTTAATGTCTACCAACAGATGAATGGAGAAGAAAATTTCACATAAAATTCAGAGAGAGAGAAAGAGAGTATTCAGCCTTTAAGAAGCAGGAGGTCCTGTCATTTGCAACAATTTAGGTACATATAGAAGACATAACAATAAGTGTAGATATTATAAGACCTGAGGCAAAGCGCAAATACTGCATGACTCCACTTTTAGGTGAAATCTGTAGTAGTGAAACTCAGAGTCAGACAGTACAGTAGTGGTTGCCCGTTACAGAGGGCTGGGAGCCAGGCAGATGGGTTGGAGGGAGGTATCAGCGGATACGGAGTTGGCAAGATGAAAGAGTGCTGGGGATCTGCTATACAGCACAACATGTAGTTAGTAATGCTGTATTGTTTAAACTTTGCTGAGGCCACAGATCTTGCAAGTTCTTTTACACTAAAAGAAAAGAAAAAAACATTTTTAAAAACATCTTCTAAATAAAACAAAAGAGAATTTTTTGGATATCTTAAGGTTTATTGCAATAGACTTTCCAGTTCTGAAAAAAAGATATTGTAAGCCCCAAGTAATACTACATTGACCAGAAAGATTTGTTACCAGCTATGGGTCTGTGTGTGCTATTAGCGTGCTCCTCAGTGTCATCTGGCCTTCAATTACGGTTAGTTCAGCAAGTGGTAGAAGGGCAGATTTGAGATTACCTTCTGTCTCCCTAACAAGGCTTTAAGGGCATTAAAGAACTCTAAATAGGCCTTGCTTTTGAATCTGCATATCAGAAGGGGGCTGGGAGCAAGAAGGTGGGGGGGATGTCAGGTCCCAGTGATTAATGATCTCTAGGAAGTGAAAAGGAGAGAGTAATATACACAGTATTTCTACCCCCTGGAGTAGGAATGCAAACACTATTGTGCAAATCTGTGCATAGTCACTGACTTCCTGGTAGCCAGAGAATTTCATACACTCTTCCACCACAAATAAAACTGTCAGAGAAGTGACAGAGCTCAGAAAGCTGACCTTCCTTCCTTAAAAAGAATAGCTCAAACACAGTGAGCCAGAAAATTAATTTTGTATTTGTTTGGGGATTCAGTTGTTTAATAAGAAGTGAGAAAATGAGAAGGTTCTTGAAAAACCTGAAACCTCCAAATATTTATTGATTCTAGACCTACACTGGTTTCTTAAATTTACTAAATTCCTAGAAACTAAACGAATTTAAAGAGGAAACATTCCTTTGTAATGAAATGACCTATCTTAAACTTTCCAGTTTGGTCTCAACAGTAGATTTAAAGACTCATCTTGTGATAAACTCCACACCCTGTAGCTTTATGTGTTGGGAGAAAATCCTAAGATTTCAGGATGGCTTGCATGGTTTTAGCAAGTAATTCCTAGGTAAAACTGGTTTTTTTCTCACCCTCCTTTTTTTTCTACTAGTGAATCCATGGTATTTAGTAATAATTTCCAAATATTTAAATCCAAGCCATTTTAAACTATAAGTGAGGAACTACAGCACTATAAAACATGTAAAAAGAAAGCTAGTGAGAAAAGCTTTGCATCTCCAGCTGCATTTGGTTATTAGGACTAACCAAAATAAGAGCCTGTCACAGCAGTAGACTTAGCAGCAGCAGCAGGCTTTAAACAACTTAAATTTTACCAAAAACCATTTACTCATCAGTCTTGTTACGTATTTTTTTGCTGTTTTTTATGCTCTCTAGTACCACACATTGCTCTATGTTGTCTAATTCTTAAGTAGATATACCAGTTTTAGTTTTTCTGTAGTATAATAAAAAAGGATTCTTGAAGAAACAGAGCTACATTTCAGGATAAAGGAGAGAAAAACTTTGTTTATTTTTCTGTTTGTTTTATTTTTAGGGTGTCACTATAATCTAAATTAAATTTTAGACTCCTGTAGTCTAAATTAAGACAGATGAGTTAAGCCCTGAGTTTGGTTTCCAAATGATTTTACTTTTTCAACTACATTTAGAAGAGTTTATTTTTAGTGGGGATGTGGTTATTTTTAGATATGCTTTTTCTCACTAGGAAATGTAATGCCTGTCTTTCCATTGTGGTTTATCAGGAAGTCCGGAGACCCAGCAGTTCAGATCTAGTTAGCACAGAACACTGCTTCTCCTTGAGATGAAAATAGGAACTAATGCGTGCAGAAAACAGGCCCATTGAGAGTATTTCTAATTTTGAAACTTTTAGTGTCATTTTATTTTTTTTTTCTAATTTTATTTTAAAGAGTAAAAACAGAAGCAAAAACAAATAGAAAAAAATGACAAATGGTAACATACAACAATACATGTTACAGATTTTCAAAACCCTAATAGCTAATTAACAGTGGTTTTATATTATCTATTTTTATCATCAAAACTTTGCTTAGATTGACAGATATAGTTATGCAGGATTGGACACATAAGTATGAATGCTTGCTTTCAAGAAATCTTAATTTTTTTCCTTATCTTTTTTTAAAAATTTATTTTAAAGAGAGTATAATGATTGGTAAGACGTTAGAAACAGCACACATTTAGAAGACCGAGATGAGAGGCATTCAATCATGGGTTTTGTATTATACATTGCTGTCTTCGATGTAGTTGCTCAGATCTCAGCTATCAGCATAAGTCAAGTTGAAAATTTGGAACAGTAACTGCTATTTTTAAAAAACTGATGGAGATTATTAGTACAGTCATCTCAGCCATCTGTGTATATACTTGCAAGTTCCTCCCCCCCTTTCTGTTTTTTCTTTTTCTTTCTTTTCTTTTTTTTTTTTTTTTTTTTTAGTGTCATTTTAATCTCTCCTACACAGAGCAGTAGAACAAGATTTTGGGGAATGCTGGAACTGCTAGGCATGGGTTCCCCCTGCTGGTGTGTATTCGGGCTTGTAGGCTCCTTCACACACAGCAGAAGGCCTAGGGGGTGATGAAACAAAAGCAAAAACTGGGATGATGTGAAAGTTGTATTTTGTACATCTAGAAAGAACAAAACTTGAAATAAGCACTTCCCTGGCAAGCGCAAGGGCCTAAATTCAATCCCCGGTTCCACCAAAAAAAAAAAAAAAAGATAGAACAAAACTTAATCTTGCAATATTTGACTGTTATTGTTGACTCTGTGATAAGCTGCTTATACACATTGCTTCTCGGTGCTTCACATTATAATCCAGGGAATAATAAAACACGAGTGGACCCACAAAAAGGGCTAAACTCCCCGAGAAAACACAGAGCTAGCATTGTTGTCATAATACAATTAAAGGCTGTGGTATTAGCCCCACTCATTCCCATTTTAGCGTTTCAGGAAGTAAAATGACATGGTATGATCAAGTCTGTCCATTTAACACCTGTTCTTTCTAAAGTGTCATATGTTGTATTTGAGACAGTTCCTTATTTTCTATCTTAGTAAATGACAAGTAAATATTAATAGCTTATTTTTAAAATAGCTCATTTTGAAAAAGAAAAATTTTAATTGACTCCTAAAAATCACTCCAGAAGTTACTATGCTTGCATTTTAAGACTGTTAATTATCTTAAAATATTGTATCTTAAATTGCCTTTCAGCAATGCAGTCAACCTTTTAAGCAATGTTCCGGTCTCTTGTTTGGATGTTCTCATTTGTCCGTTAACCCATGAAGAAACAGCCCAAGAAGCGACGACTCTAGATGAACTGCCCAGTGATAAAGCCGCTGAGAAAGACGCCGTTTTACAAAACAGTACTGTGGTGTACAATGGTATGAACATGGAGGCCATTCATGTTCTACTCAGTTTTATGGAGAAGAGAATAGACAAGGTGAGGCTCCTAAGCTGCAAGCACCAAAGATGGCTAACAAATGGGAATGTGCTGTGCATACAAAGCTGGGCAACAGAGCCCTAGGTGGTTCTAAATCTGAGGTTTTTTAATAGCTGAAATGTTACATATTTTTACTTTGGGAAACATTTTATTGTAACATATGATAAATTGCTAAAACTAGGGGAATGTGTTTAGTGATGAAAATGGTGTTTGTGGAATTCAAATTTGTTACTAGTGCCTAAAAATAATAATTATTATTTTATCGGTAATTTCTACATCCTAGAAGTAATAATTTTTGTCCAAAAACTTGATACTTTGAATAATACCCTTAAAAGACATTTTCAAAAGATTTGTTTTCAGTTTTCTGCTTGCGAGCCGCTTATTTTCTCTGGTCACTAAAGGCAGCAGGGCAGCATAAGTACTTCATCAAAGCCTTTGCCTCCATAAGCCCACTCTTGGGCTTGTGGGAGTGGGGGACCCTCAGAGATGCAGGGAAGTCTAGGGAGGACAAGACAAGAAGACAGCTGATGAGTGGAAGGAAGGTCATTTCTAACACGGTCCTATAAGCTTTGATATCTCTCCCCAAGTATTCCTGTGCTCAAACTAACGGAGCAAAGTAATACTTGTATTTTTTATTTTTATTTTTATTTTTTCCATAATTTTATTGAGAAACAAATAGCCATGAGACAATTTCAAACCAAATTGGTAGGACAGTTTCAATAATTAACACACTGCATACATTCTTCCTAGTGGTTGACTGCTGTACAAGATGTGGACATGATATCCTATTTACAAACACCACTAGAACAAATCCCTCTATTCATTAAGAGAATGTGACTATATATCTGTCCTAATCACTTTGAATACACAGATACACAATGGACATTCATCTGTATCCCCTTTTTTTGTTCTGTTATTGAATATTATAGGTGTGTAAACTCAGCAAAATATTCTAAGAGTCCACTAGCCCATAATAGCACTGGGTCCTCCGCTTGACTGGCAGTGTCAGAAGTTGTTGACCTGAGTCCCCTACAGCTCAGCATAACCGCATGGTGGCTTTACTGCTTATACTTCTAGAAGCTAATATATCTGTATGGTTTTCTTTATAGGGAAGCAGCTATAGAGAGGGTCTAACTCCAGTTCTCAGCTTATTAACAGAATGTTCCCGGGCCCACCGAAACATCAGAAAATTTCTCAAAGATAAGGTAACTGCTAAATACATAGTACATGTCAAAGTTAATAGTTTTGTGTATTTTTGACATGGAACCAGTGTATTGATTTTTCACATATTTCTTTTCAGAAAATCAGAGGCTCAGAAAAGTTAGTTTTAATCTTTAAAATCTTTCAATCAAGAAAGAAGTGATCTGTATATTTTTTGAATTGTTCACTGGGTTTTTTCCACATTGTTTACTGAGATCTGTACTGAGCTGATTTCTACGTACTGTTCTGAGCACCGAACAGCAGATCGAGTCATGCCCTCATGTGGGGCGGATTGTAATGGCAGGAAACGCCAGGTGTTTTGAAGGGAGATACAATAGGGGAAGGGGATAGGGAGACACGGGTGAGGGCGAGCCTTGGAGATGGTATTTGGGCTGCAAGTTGGATAAAGACGGTGTCTCTGAGACTGTCCAGAGGGGAATTTACCAGAGAGAACAAGTTCAGAGCTCCTGAAAGGAGAGAATGGTTGGTGAGCTTGAGGTGCAGCGAGGTGGCCAGGGTGACTAGGAAGAGATTCACAAGGGAAAGGCAGAGGAGGGAGCAGAAGAGGTAACCTGTGGCCAGGCACCACGAGGCTGGAGGAAGCTCGCCTTGGAGATGAGTAGACCCTGGGGTGTTTGGGGAGTGGAGCAATGTGACTGTGTTGATGTTTGAGCCTACTCTGGCTCCTGTGTGCGGGACAGACTTGAGTGGAAGGAGGCAGATGGGACCAGGAGACGCACCCTGAACGGAACAGAAGCAGAGGGCTGGGGGCGGGGAGGACTGAGTTCACGTTTGGAGATAGTGGAGAGCAGGGCTCACATGAGATGCTGAGAGATGGGGCCATGAATCAAGGAAGAAGGAAAAACTAGAGATGGCCTTTACACTTTTAGTCTGAGACTTGGACAGTAACTGAAACCGACCTCCTCTGACGCCCCAGGCTCAAGCACTTCTCATTAGCGCCCTCAGTCCTCCTGTGCTCCAGCCCCACGGCTGGAGCCACAGCCTTGGGCTGCCCCACGTCTGCCCACTTCCTCTTACCAGGCTAGATATCATGTATAGTTCAAGACTGTCATCACTCCTTGCATACGTCTTTACCTGGCCACTCCTCACCCCCTGTCTCTGGAAAACACAACATACTCATTAACTCCAGCTGCTGCCTACTTGGGAGAAAAGAGAGCAGCCACCCTGCCTAGCCAGTTAGCTCCTGGCTAATGTGCAATAATTACAGCTGTTTCTTGCAACTTACACTTTCTCTGCTTACACTCTCGTTGGTTGACCTTGTTTCCTATTTCTGTAAGGAATCAAGAGAAAGCGTCATCTTTCCACCCCTGTATCTACCGTCTGCCTTCACCTGTACTGTCAGGTACTCTGCCTCCCCTCTGTTACAGAGATGAATTCTCTCTCTGCTCTGTGGCCAGCCTCTGTTCCAGATCTGTTTCCCTCATTTTCTCATTAATTTTGTCCCTGCATTTATTCATACTTTCTCTTTCCCTCCCTTCTTCCTTCTGGTACTGGGGATTGAACTCAAAAACTTTACTTTGAGCTGTTTCCCTAGCCCTTTTTAAACTGTAAGCATAGAGACAAGGCCTTGCTGAGTCTTTTAAGTTGCTCAGGCTGGGCTCACGCTTGTAGTTCTGCTGCCTCAGCTTCCCAGAGTGCAGTGAAGAGGTGTGCACCACCCCTGGTTCCCCTCTGCGGCTTCTTATATCCGCTCCAGTCATCCCCCGAACCTTCAGTAACTAGGCTTCTGTGCTTTCCGTTCCAGTACAGCGGTTTTTACCAAGACACTGACCCAGTGTCTCCAGAGTTCTCAAGTCTTTTCTTGTGCCCTAATAGCATTTGATATGTGTTCCTCCCCTTTGAAATGCTTTCTTCACTTGGTTTCTAGAACACAGCAGAAAATCTCTGCGGATCTTTGTCTTCCCAAATGTTTGGCTGCTCCAGGGCAACAGTTTTCTTGGTTCCTTTTCTCCTTGCTGAGACGAAATAGCTGACACCCAAAATTAAAGAAGGAAAGGTTTGCTTTGGCTCCCAGTTTGCAGTTTTCAGTCTGTGGTCAGCTGCTCCAAGGCAAGGTGGCATCTCAGAGGAGAAACAGTTTATGGCAGGCAAACAGCTGGAAGGCAGCAAAACAGCAAATTAGGGAGAAAGGAGCAGCGGCAGCCTGCCTCTCCTTTTCAACCCTTGCAGGTCACTGTCCCTTTGGGTGGTGCCACTCACAGCCAGAACTCTGCCAGACTGATCAGTGGAGACTCCTGAGTAATCACACACCCTCAATCCCAGCCCCACACCCCTAGACCTGGCCTCCAAAGAGCCTGACCTCTGACTTTGTAAGACTTTTGGAGGACATCTGAATGCAAGTCGTAGCAGCTGCCCTGCCCTGTCTGCATCCTCTGAGATCTTCCTTGAGAACACGGCTTTTGAAAGCCCATCTCTGTGCTGCTGGCTACTCCAAGTTTCTCTCTCCAGCCGCGCTCTGTGCCCTGAGCGCCAGCTCTATGTGATGAGCGCCTGCCTCCTCCCACTAGGCGAGCAGTGTAAGTCGCGCACACCCCAAGTTAGCATCCTGACTTCCTGTCCCCTTAATCTGCTGTTTTCCTTTCTTTCTTCCGTTCAGTGTGTGGACCTCGCTCACATCCTTGTTCAGTTATCACCGGAGAATGCCTGCTAGTAAATAACCAAATTCATCTTCTCTGTCTCTGTTGATAGTCGGGATGTGCTAAGTACCTTATTACATGTAGGACACACTAATGTGCAGGCAGCCTGTCTTTTCCAGCCCTCATATTTGGACTGATAAAGAAAGACTAAAAAGTAGGGGCTCTGTGGGGAATTCACACTTTTTCGAAAGAAAAAGAGCAACACCAGAAAGCATGAATGACCATTTAAGCAAGATAAGCTAAACCATGAAAGTTATTTTTAAATGGGATTAAGATACTCAAGTAGGAACACATAGTAAAGAATAAATTAAAATACTTTGTTTTTCATATTTTTACACTTTAACAAAGATAACCTTGGGATCAAGGTTTAAGTAAACTTTTTGTTTCACTATCTCTAATTAGTTCACAAAAGTCTGTTAAAAGCCTTCTTTAAAAAAATAAAACTTCGAAAAAGCCTTCTTTATATCAAGGCCTTGGGGCACTTATTGTGAAGTACAAAACACTGTGAGACCCACTTTGTGTGCTCAAGAAACACTGCGATGTGATAGCTAAAAAGGTAAGTAAAAATAAAAAGTGTGTTAGTGCAGTTTGATTACCTCAGCGGGTGTCTAAAGCATGCAGTCCATGGAGCTGGGGGTCCCAGGTTGCAGGGTCACGTCTGCTGATGGTCTCATTGTGGCCGAGTCCTAGGGAGGGCGTCACATGGCAAGAGACAGAGAGGGGGGCGCGCGCGTGTGTGTGTGTGTGTGTCTGTCTGTCTGTCTGTCCTTTTTGGTCTCTCTCTCTCTTATAAAGCTGCCAGTATTCTGTTCCACCCTCAGGACCTCTAACCCTAATTATCTCCCAAAGGTGTCAATTCTAAACACTATGTAGCTGGATTACATTTTCATCCTGTTAATGCCTCACTTGGGGATTAAACTTCTACACATTAAACCTTAGAGGATGCACTCAAACCGTACCTAAACCAAAGCATCCTGTCCTTGGCCCCCAAGGTTCATGTCCTCATGATGTAAAACACAGGCATTTCGTCCCCAGTAGTGCCATCCCATAGTCTAGCTCATTGTAGCACTCACTCAGAATCACGGAAGCCTCTCCAAGCAAGACTCAAGTGAACTCTGTCTAGCTGTGAGTCTATACAGTCAAAATAAGCTAGCTACATTCGTGGTGTGGTGGTGCCACAGCCACAGGATATACACTCCCATTCCAAAGGAGAGGAATGGGCAGTCAGGAAGAGCTGGCCTGGAGCAAGACCAGAAACTATCAGGGCATTGGTCAAGCCCCAGAACTGCAAGTCTGGCGTCTGCACGTGCAGGGAGGGTAAGGTCCCTGAGGCCTAAGCTTTCTCACCCCTGCAGCTTTGCTGGTTGCAGCCTACCTGCCTGCATGCCAGGGTTGCTAGCTTTCCTGGGCAGATGGGCCACGTTACTGGTAATTGTTACCCTTTGGGGGACCCCACTGTGACTTCTGCCTCCACAGCACCATGGGGTATCCTGCTCTCTGCAGGAGCTCTGAATCTTCAGCATATTTCTGCTTGGTCTCCTAGGTTTTCCTTTGAAATCCTGGGGGAAGCTTCCGTGAACCAGTAAACTTTCCATTCTGCACACCTGCAACACCAGCACCACATAGGTGCCCAAAAGGCCTGATGCCAGCTCGTGCTGTCCCTAGGCCTACCTGCACTGAGGCAGTAGCCCCCACTGAGAGTTTTGCCAGTGGAATGTAAAGAAACAAACCCTGAAGTGTTGTTGTGAGGCAAGCCAGTCAGGAGTTTGAACCAACTCCCCCCACAAGATCTCGGGCCAGGGATGGGAAATATAAAATACTTGTGTAGGTGACTCAATTTTTTCAGATTTAGTTTACGTTTTTTTCTTTAGAACATCTCTTCTGTACCTCCAATATTTATACATGGTATGCATTAAATATAGAGAGGTAAGTAATGATAAAAGTAGTCAGTCAATTGAATTAAATAAAATTGCATGTACTGAAAGGGTTTGGATCAGTTGCACAGTAAATTATTACTTGACTTTGTGCCTATCCTGAGGTTCCTTGCATAGGGCCTATTTAAGCAGAATACATTTATTTTATTTTGGACATGGTTTGCCCCTCAAGATTTCATGTGTTGCAAGTTTGGTCCCCCAAGTGGCCATGAGAGAGATGATATGGAACCTTTTTAAGAGGTAGGACCTTAGGGCAATGAGGGACTGACCTCCAAAAGGACTAAGGGGGCTCTCGTGGGACCTTTGAGCTGCTGCAAGATATAAGGCAAGTTGTCATACGAGTGGGCCATGAACTGCCTCCTGGCTTTCTGTTTTGAGAGTGATCTCTTCATGCCTCCCACACCGGTCATTGTGACACCTTCCTCAGTGAGTCTTCACCAGAGGCAGAACCAATGGGTGAGGCTACCAGATCTTGGGCTTTGGGTATCCAGAATTGAACTAAACAGTACAGCCATAGCCATTTCCTTGTAGAAACCCTAAACAGACTTGTATAGCATGTATTAAAGAGTTACTTGAATTAATTAGTTTTCTGTTTATTTATTGTACAGGGTCTAAAGTGTCTAACTGCACAGATCAGACTCGTAGTGATCCTCCTGTTTTCAGCTTCCCAAGGTCTGGGATTATAGGCACATGCCACCACAGCCAGTCTCAGTTGCTTTCTCAACTCATCCCAGGGGTTGAACCCTGGCCCCTGCATCTGCCTAAGCAGGCGCTTTAATCCGTTGAGCTATCTGGCTGGCCCTCGTTTTCTCCTTGATCAGCAAATATTTATCAAGCACTGCTAGTATGCCAGGCACTGCGAACAAAGCAATAAACTAAATTAAAAGTTCCCTGCCTCTGTGGGACTTCTTTGGAAAGCAGCAGTCAGCCAACAAATACTGTATATGCTATCACAGATTGTGGACAGTGATCCTAGGAGGATGGGTGCAGACCAAGGGGTTGGAACTGCAGAGCAGGGCCAAGGGTAGCAAAGGGGGAGTCAAGTCAGGGAGTCTGTTCTTTAGATATTATGAAAAGAGAACCATAGGGAGGGAGGGAGGGAGGTACTTGGCGTGTCCAGCAAGGTCTGTGGAAGTGGGCCTGACTGGAGTAGCATACGCAAGGACAGCAGTGGGAAATGGAGTCCGAGAAGGGGCAGGAAGCCAGACTACATGGACCCTTGCAGAGGGCTGTGAAGACCTGGCCATGGGAAGTCCGAGGGACCAGAGGGCTCTGAGAAGAGGTGGACATGACCTGGCTTTCAAAGACCATTCTTCCTGCTGTGTAGAGAGTAAATCCCCGGACCAAGGCCAGGGAGGAACAAGGACCACTTAGGATGTGGTGATGGATTCTGGTGAGAAGCGTTGGTAGCTTGGACTTGGTCACACTGGAGGCCGCAGTGGGAATGGTTGCCTCCTGGGTGTCCTGCAGAGGTAAAGTTAACATTTTCAGATGGGTGGATGGTGTGAGAAAGCATCAAGGGGATTTCCAAGATTTTTGTTCTTTGTCCGTGTGTGTGTGTGTGTGTGCGTGCGCGCGCACTTGGGTGCGTGTTTTTGTACTGTGAGCCAAACTCAGGTGTGCTTGCCAAGCAGACATTTGTACCATTAAGCTATATCCCCAGCTCTTAAATTTTGGGGCTTAGCAGTTAAAACATGGACTGATGTACAGGAGAAACAGGTTTAGTGGGTGTATCAGAGTCTCAGTGAGGACAGGATAAGTTTGGAAAGCCTGTGAAAACCTAGCAGTCAGAAGTGAGTAGCATAGTGCTTAGTGAGGGCTTCAGGGAAAGTGCAGAGTTACTATTAACCATCAAATTTCATTTCTAGAAAATGGGGACATTCTGGAGATCTGATGTACAGCGTTGCACCATACTTAATAATTACTGGATTGTATACATAAAAACTTTACTACGAGGGTTACAAAAAAGAATCCTTGGTTCCACCAGGGTTAGTAAATCAGAATCTACATGTTAATATGCTCCATAGGCATTTGCCGGCACTCGGAGTCTGAGGAGCACTAGCACAAAGTTAGAGGGATGATTTTATGGCAGTAGTTTGCTCTGTAATCGCACTCTAAGTGTGGTTGCTGCATATTAAATAGTGTGTTATGTTGAATGTTCTATTACAGATTCATCACAGATGTAATCTTAAAATTGAAAGTAAATTTAATATACTTTCTGTTGTGATTTTAATTGGTTCTTTTCACAGCCCTTTGTATAATCCTGTACTATATGTCTACTAAGTGGGTGTTCGTTTTTGTTTTTTTTTAACTCACGGAAGGAAAGAAATCAACATGAAGTTATAATTTCGGGGGTGCTGGGGATCCAAAAGCTCCGTAAAGCCATAGCACAGGATGAGATCCCCAGGAGTGTGCATGAGCGAAGAGAGGCAGAGTAGCCGTGAACTCAGCATCTGCGGTGTTTCCATGTTTCGAAGACAGGAAGAGAAAAGGAGGACTAGCAAAACAGGCCGAGACAAAGCAGCTAGCAGATGGGAGGAGAGTGAGGAGCGAGGTGTAGGGCGGGTGCAGAGCGCCAGAGAGTGGGCAGAGGATGAGTGAACTGAGCCAGCTCTCTCTGCCTTGGAGGATGAGTCTATAGAAGAATTGAGTGTCACGTTACTACCTCTTGGGCCCGGGGAGCTGGCTCAGTGGAATAAGCGCTTCCCTGGCAAGTGCAAGGGCCTGAGTTCAATCCCCGGTTCTGACAAAAAAAAAAAAAAAAAAAAAAAAGTTATTACCTCTTTTCAGGGGCCCGCGAGGGATATAAATAATGTGTGCATACCGCCAACGAGGCAGCTTGGAGAAGGGGCCTGGTAATCAGAGATTGAGTAGCACTTACCAAAATGCTTAGGGCTGGGGGTGTTTTGTATATAGAATTACTTCAGATTTGGGAATATTTCCACATGTGCATAGTGCAGTAGCTCAGCAATGGACTTAGTTCTAAATGTGAAACTTAATATGCCAGGTACACGTAATTTTATACAGCATTTTTAGCATACCTGCGTTCGACTGTGACTTATCACATGAGGTCAGCTTTTCTATCCCATGTGCAATTTTCCATTTGTGGTGGGCATCATTTCAGTGCTCAGAAAGTTTCAGATCTTGGAGCATTTCAGGCTTTTAGGTTAACAATACTCAACCTGTAGTAGCCATTTTTTACTACTTAGTGAAACAGCTAGAAAGTGTAAGTACAAATTTTTTTAGTAAGTATTGAAAATGCTGCCAGATTTAAAGTAAGGAAGGATCAGTATTACTCAATGTATTAAGGAAGTCTTTGTGAGAGAGAGAAAGTTGGAAGATTTTAAAATGGATTTTGAATAAGAAATGGCGTTCCACATGTGAGAGGAGTAAAAAGTTAGTTGCCTTTATGATAGCCTGACAAGAAGTTATTTGAGGTCTGTTTTTTGCTGTTTTTATTTTATTTTATTGGAAACTAGTCTATATTTTTTATTTTATTTTTTTAATCTTATAAGGCTAAGCCCAGTAATCACTGCAAGACCACGCAACCAACGGTACCAGCCTCATGTACCATAGCTCCCTCAGTTAATGATGGTTTTTCCATTGTGCCATCAGGTTTTACCACCCTTGAGGGATGTCACAAACCGACCTGAAGTTGGCTCGACTGTGAGAAACAAGCTGGTGCGCCTCATGACACATGTTGACCTTGGCGTTAAGCAGATCGCTGCTGAGTTCCTTTTTGTCCTTTGCAAAGAGAGAGGTAGGTTAAACTCTCTTTGCCCTTGGCGTTTAGCATTTGGAGGGGACTGGAGAAAAATTTCTGTTGCCAGTAGCCATCTTTCTGCATGCTTTCCAGAGCGTGCTGTTTCTTACCTTTCGTTATGAGAGAAGCTCAGGAGATAATAAAAATTAACAATTTAAAAGTATTTTTATATGCTTCTGGATTCATTAACATGTGCAGAGACAGATGTATTGCCAAAATTTAAGACACACTTAAACTTTGCCTTCTGTGTCCTTAACCCAGATTTCTTAATCTTGATATGCAGGACCTGGAGCCATTAGGAGAAGTCCATCCAGTACATGAGGGGCTGCAGTTTCCAAAAGCAGCACAGATCTGAGTCAGTTTCTTTAATTCCCTTTGGAATGTAACTCCTCATAGAATTAAAGATTACCTTCTTCGCCAGGCTCTTTAGTCATTAGTTCTAGAGTGTGAAGTATATAATCCAGTGTGGAGATATACAAACGAGCATCAGCTATACCACTTATCCTTGAAGCTGCAGCAGCATAACGGTAGGGAAAAATTTAAAAATAGAGTGCATTGCAGTAAGTGCTACTGTATATGTATATACAAGAGTGGTTTGCTGAGATAGATTCAGTAGTTAATAAATTTCCTAAAATTATATGGATTATTTGCTCTACAGAAACCAAGTTTTACGACAAAGAACTGTAACTAAATCATTTAGATATGTTCAGCTATTACTTCTCTTAGTTTGTAACTATCCTAGCATGCAGTCTCAACTGAGCAGTTTTTATTCCACTTTTCTTAAGATAATTTGGAAATGAAAAGGTTCAAGTCTACCCAAATCTTACCTCAATTGTTTTCTTAAATTTTATTTTTTTTAAAAATTGATCCAACCACTTAAGTTCCTGTTAAGATGGTGTAGAAACAACATAATTTGATATTTGCCATGATGGTGCTAAGTGTAGATGTTATAAAATAAGAGGTGTGTGCCTGACAGTCTTTGTGCAGCTCATTTAGTTCCCATAGCCCTCTACAGTTTCATCTGATGACTTCTCTCATGCTTCAAAGAAAGACTGATTTATTGACTTGGCATGAAGTGGTTATAATAGTGCCTTGATGTAATTGTAAATATTAAATTAAATCTGCTTTTCTGAGTTGTTTTTCTAGAAGTGTGTCTATACATATACACAAGTCTAAACTGCACATGTGCATCTGTTCATTTTAAAACGTTTGCCAAAATATATATAAATTTTAAATATTATCTAATTTATTATTATTGCTGCTTCTACTCTGAGTAGTAAAATTACTAGTGGGTTTTTTTCTTTTTAGTTCCCTGCATTGTAATTTTTCTACAGTGAATATACATTTCATGAATACTTTTAACAACTTTTATTTTTGTCGGGGTTTTTTGGGGGTTTTTTTTGTATTTTAGAGGAGGGTCTACAAGGTGTTCAGGGTCTCACTACTACATCAGACTTGTAGTGATCCTTCTGTTTACAGCCTCCCAAGTCTAGGATTACAGGCATGTACCACCACACCCAGTCTCATTTGCCATTGCCCTCTCAGGGTGCTCCAAGGGGTGGGGCCAGCACTGCAGGCCTGGGAACTTTTTAAAATTTTTAAAAGGTCCAAATTAAGTTTTTATCTTCTGTAACTGTATATCCAAATCTTATATATTTAAATGCATATATGTCTAACTATAATCTCATTACTGATGAGTGAGGTCATAACAGATACAGTATA